ACAGTGAAGCTGAAATGCAGCATAAAGCAGGGAACAAGAAAACGGAAGTCCCCGCATGTTGAAGCATAGCAATTTCTGTTCTCTTTTTCCCCGCATTTTATTGCATTTCAGCTTTACCGGAATGCTGTATTCTAAATTACCGCATGGTGACAAATTTGTATCCTACAGTTCAACAGAATAAAAATTGTCCATTCAGCCGGAGTCGGAGATATACAAAATTGTCACCACTCAGGATTCGAAATCCCATGTTTGAAGGTGTGCGCTTAGAACCTTGCAATAGACAATGTCAGACGCTCGCACCCATGCGATCGTATCGACCTCTACACTGAGCAGAACATACCTCTCTTGTTTGGAGAGGCGCTGACAGGCGGTGGTCCTTCTGCTTCCCGCTCGGTTTGAGAAGCACCCGCCTGCCCGTGCATCAGCGTCTCTGACGCAAACGCCGCCACCATTATTTCCCGGAGAACACCCCGCACAGCAGCAGCATCGTGACCTGGGGACAGCAGAGTCTACAATTAACCGGCGTACAAACCGGCGTAGAAAACCAATCCGAGCACAGCACGCAAACAATGACAACTATACTTTAATTTTCTAACATAATACATGCGCTAAAAATTCTGGAACGACACTTGTCTACTAATTTTGCATTCAGCGTGAGGCTGGGTGGATAAATTTCGGTCACTAAGCTACTACGTACTACGTACAAAAGTGATGGTCGTCGTTCGTTTCGTGTGAGGCCATTATTTAGATCTTTATTCCATCGCATCCACTCTAAATGTAAACGAACAATTCTGTTCCTTAAGCGGCAACGGTTTTGTGCACTAAGACCAGATACGACCTTTTCTTTAAAGCTGAATAAAAGGTGTAAAGTTGTACACAATTTGTCGTCTAGTTTTAGGAACAGATATGTGTCAAAAACACGTTCCTGCTAGAGCAACAGAATTGTTCTTTTCCATTTACAGCGTCCTATCCGTACACCAGCGGTATTCGAAAACATTAAGGGGGCAGACCTGTGAAATGTAAGGGTTTGCAAGAATCGTCACTTTACATAAAAACCACACACCGCATCAATTTAGGATTAAAGATGTAATAAAAGCATACATGGACGCTAATTTTGCCGTTGGCGCCGGTGCACACTCCCCAGGAACATGCCGATCTTCGCCCTCAACTGGAACGACGCAATCCTTCTCGATATGCACGATTGCAGCGCAACGGATACGTCTGCGACGGTCAAAAAAATTGCTAGTTATTCTTTAAAGATGCCCCTAGTAGTTGACCTGGGGGTTTTACCAATTTTAAAATGGAAGTAGTCGAAAAAAATGGACAATTTTTTTTTCCAATTTTTTTGTATTTCAGCTATATGCACTGGAAATGCAAGTGTGTGAATGTCGCTCACCTGCAGGAAAAATTCACACCTTTACCCCCCTAAGTGTACGAATGGAATGTCGCTCATCTGCTGGTGAGCGACATTCACACACTTGCATTTCCAGTGTGATTTTTTTCGAGTACTTCCATCTCGAAACTTGCAAACCCTACGTCCCTACGTCAACCACTAGCGGCATCTTTTTAGAGTTATTCTAGCAATGTTGGTGACAGTTGCAGACGAACCAATCCGTTGGAGTACAATCGTGCACACCAAACAGACTGCATCGTCCAGTTGGAGGTGAAGATGGGTATGTTCCTGGAGAGTGCACACACCGGCGCCAACGGCAAAATTGGCGTCCATCTATGCTCTTAATACATTATTTAATCCTAAATTGATGCGGCGTGTAGTTTTTATGTAATGACTATTTCTCCCAAACCCTTTAATTCACAGGTCGGCCCCTTTAAACAAGCGTCATTCTAGAGTTTTTAGTGAGGTCACCACACTACAAACACAAAGCATCAAGTGAATAAGGTGCTCCAGGCTATCAAAACCAGAGGTGAAAAAGAACAAGTAACTAATTTTCACAATCTGCTCTTCGACGGAACTCTTATTGAAATAATGAAAAAAAAAATGCTTTCGACACTACTAACAATTTCTCCTCTATATCAGTAAGTTACTTTGAAAAACATAAAGAATAAACAAAATAGTTCCTGCTGCATAAAAACGTAAGTATCTAGCAGGAAATAAATTAGAACACGTCTGAGTTTAGAGTTTAAATTTCTGACAGTTATACCAGGTGTCCCGGCTCTTACATGCCAGTGCGTTGGCAGTACGTACTGGCATGTAAGAGCCGGGACACCCGGTACCTACGCGTCATTAGCTTAGCCAGAGCCATAACAGAAATAACAGAAACAGTTACTTTCTTTTCCTACTTGTAGTTTGGATGGTATGAAACACGTTATTGCTGTGAGACAATATGCACATACATTGTGTACTTCAAACAGTAAGGAAGTATGCTTTGCACCCATGCAATTGACTTGGCCCAAGAGGCCGTGGCCACAAACACCAGCTAACTACTTAAATCATGCTCAAAGTATCAATCAACGATAAATACCTACAATTCAATACAAAAACCTTGTTTAAGACGGAATAAAAACATACGCGGCTGACGTAAGCGTTAAATCGATGATTGTAAGTTTTACACAGCTGTCTAGTTTGAGGAACATCCCGTGAAACACTTGTCACATGTGGTACTTGTGAGTTCCAGGTGTGTTTCATACATGTACACCAAACGAAACATATGATACTTGTAGGTCGCCTGCACTTGCCATACGTTTTGGTAACATACATGTGTCAGACGTTCATATTTTTCAAATATAGTTCTTGGCGACATGTATGGCTGACTTATACATATATGCGTCGCCGATGGATTTCCGGCACATGGCATAGGACTCATGTGAGGAACACTCGTTTCGTTGTTATGTACATATATGCATCATACGAGTTAACACACCAATCCCATGAATGGTAGAAATGTCGTAACAAGTTGCACATGTGTGGTAATGAACACTTAGCGACATTAGTTCACTGGTAATCGTGTCAACGAACGTATGTCCACAAATTTTCGAATTTCACTTTTTTAACGTTTCAACATGGGTGAGGAGCTAAGTTTCACATGGTGAAGAGAATATTTTAAAATGTATGTAAATTTTTGAGGTATAGCGATGTGCCAAACAACGCATGTCTACACACTAAATGGCGAGGGACAATTTTTGTACGTAGGCTGGATGTGTCTTTGAGCACATCTAAACCAAATGCAAATTTGCATCCAAGTCACATACAAAATATAACATTTGTACCTAGCCTAGGTACACTTTGTACCTCTGTACAGACAAATTCGTATCTGATGAAGATGTGCTCAAAGACACATCTAACTAAGGTACAAAAATTGTCCCTCCCCATTTAGAGTGTATCAGTCACCTGATCAATGAACGTACGTCCAGCGTGATCTAGTCAACAAACGATGTCCATTGCTCGAGCCACTTGGACATACGTTTGTTGGCCAGATCACACTAGACATACGTTTGTTGACCAGATCACTCTGGACATACGTTCATTGGTCAGATCTGATAGACACACATTTAGTAGATCAATAACATATCATGAATTGGTTAACTTCTTTGCCCTAACTATGCCCTTTAGCATACATTTTCTAAGAAAAATATCACAACGCGTATTGCCTACTTATTAAGTGTGTCAGCACACCCTAAAATGCTGTAAAATAGAGTAATTCGTATTATCACGCTCAACCGAAAGAGGAATTTTGGTGGAAGAAACGTTGATTCCAAGTAGATTTGTGACGTGAATTCAACGTCGAGTATCCACGTGACATCCACGTGGATTTGACTCCTTTTTCCACGCATCGGAACGCCAATTTGCGTTTGACATCAGTTTGTCATCAGTATGTCATCACATTTCATCATCGGATTGTCATCCGTTTGACATCCGTCTGTCATCGGCGAGATGACAAACTGTTGACAAACTGATACCATACGTTTCCATGCGGGCAATGTCTACACTGTAAATCTGCAAGGACTTTCAGTGTCCATAGAATTATGCATGTTTTTCACCTCTCAATCGGATGCAAATTTGACTCTTACGGGGAAAGATGTGCATCCTAAAGATGAACAATAAGATTATGTTAAAAGGATGCTTCTTCGCCCATTGCAAGATTCGAATTCGCATCTGCTAGAGGTGTGCACGAAAACGCATCAATCTATGGTCAATAGAAGTCCTTTCAGATTAAGGGTGCATTTTCAAAATGACAATTAAAGAATAATAATGTAAAAGACAAGCGTCATTACGTGGTTTTCATTGCCCCCCTACCTGTGTAAGAACACCTTCTTTTCCAAGTACAAGGTAACACAAATACTTCAGGGCTGCATGTGTGAATACATTCTACAAGGAAAAGAGCCAGTGTACTAAATGTCAAGGCGCAGTTTTCGGCCATTGCAAGATGCGTCGGTGTCCACAGCTCCCAAGGTGTAATTTTGGGTCCCTAGTGACCAATTTATATCTCCAGCCGCTGAAAAAATAAAAATTTGTCTAGCAGCTGGTACAAATTTGTTACTATTCGGGATTCAAATTCGCAACTTGCAGCATCAGCACACAGACG